GGAAAAAACATTAGTCAGGCAGTCTGGTCCCCTGTATTTATTTTTCTTTCTAAAAAATTTTGCAGTTTGATTTTAAGACCTCTTCAGTGATGGAGCAGTGCTTAAAGAGCGGTGCTTAAATCTTTCTTTTAAAAGCTTAAATCTTCTAATTTCACATTTCATCCTTTTCCTATTTTAATTATATGTACTTTGCTAGGGAACATACATAACCACAAAGAAAGCAAAACAGGAGTCAGAACTCTCTGTACTCGAGCAAGGATTGCGTAGTCACCGTTTCTTTTCAAGATCATGGCTTCTTTTGAATTTGGAGTGTCTGTCACTCAGTAAAGGGCAGTCCAGCCATCCTCTGTCCCACCCCAATCATTTGTTTTTGCTGGCTCACTGCAGAGCTGCCTTTGTGTGACTGCACAGTTAACTGCATTGAAAACTCACCCAGTAGAAAAGTGACTTAATAAAACCCGTGTTTAAAATGGTTTTGTCACCTAATACACCCCATTAACTGAGCCACACCAACACTAGTGTCAGCAAAGGAAAAGATGTAGGAGCAAGCATCCAGTGGCAGGAACCCTTGCTGAGGCAGGAGTGTGAGCTTATGCCAGAATGAATATGTCATCATGACCTCAGTCAGAGTTTTCACATCTAGCATCTATTTACTTACCTACTTCAGTGAAATCAAGAATTTCAGAGGTGCAGGTGAGGGCTTGAAAGTATCCCACACTCCCTGTGAGGAATGTAGAACACCTTTGAAATACAATCTTATGCTGATTTGGGTACAGATTACCTTAAATGCAGAGATCTCTGTAGGGAACACGCCCCTTGAAGTTGCTTTACTAATTGCTCTGCGGGACTGAAAATTCCACGTTCCAGTCTCACTCCCTCTTACCTTTTCTGATGTAGATCTGTTGAAGCTTCTGTCTTACTCCTGTCTTATAGTATATACCTACTGATAGACAGTGTATTGAATTCTTGTTACACCATTCAGTAGAAGACAATAAAGAAATTTATTTTACAGCCAAGCACATTATTTATTTGTTGAATGTAACATTCAACAATTCCACTCAATGAGTATTTCTAAAAAAACGATCTTTGAACCTCCTGAAGTATATTTCTAATGAGCACTTTCTGGGCTGAATGTAAAATCTTTTCAAGACAAGCAGGAAAAAAGAGCACTGAATGTCTTGGACAGCAAGCTAAAGCCGACCTAAAACCTGGTGCAGAATATATCTATATATCTATATATCTATATATCTATATATCTATATATCTATATATCTATATATCTATATATCTATATATCTATATATCTATATATCTATATATCTATATATCTATATATCTATATATCCATGCATCCATCCATCTATCTATCTATCTATCTATCTATCTATCTATCTATCTATCTATCTATCTATCTATCTATTTATATATCTCCTTGCATGTGCTTAAGACTATAGTAACCATCATAGGCCCAGGATAATTACTATCTTGGTGAGCCAATTCTTCAACCTGGCTTTTGGGCGTCTAGAAAAGAAAGGTGAAGAGCTTGAATGAAAGGACCATTGCTAATAGTAGAAAAGGGAAAAAAGACCCCACAAACAAGAAATCACAACCACCCCCCAAGACCCCCCAAAAAAAGCCTCCAAACAAAACCAACACAAATTAAAATCAACACAAAACCAAAACCAAACAAACTTAAAGTAAAATCCAAGGGATCTTACCATAAATCTGTAAATTTCAGGAGTGTGAAAGAAATTTTACACAAAAATGATACAAAAATGATAGTTGTGTTTAAACGTGAGTTTGAAAATAACTAGAAAATTGTCTCCTATGCTATATGGTGAAAAGTTATTATCAGAGGTCTAAAATGCAGTCTGGACAAATATTTAATTAGAGTGGGTAATTTGGTTTGGCAAAGTCAATGGCAAGGGTTAATAGGACAGGAGATGGGTTTTTTCTCTGTAGAATAGGTGCTTTGCAAGATGAGTTGTTTCTACATTGATGTGTTAGATCACCATCTAGAGGTCATTTAAAACACATGCTTGTCATTAGACTGGATTTAAAAAAAAAATAAATTCTATTTACTGAGGCTGTTTGAGACAAATAGCACAAATTACTAATAATTGCTTAAGCACTGAAGTGGGAAATTCATTACATTTTCCACTGCACTTGTACCAGTCTTATAAAACACTTCTTGTTCAGTTTCAGTCAGTTGTCAGCTACAGAAATATTCAGGATTAAGTGTGATTTTTCCACATAAGGTAGTGTCCTATTGTTATGATCCAATCACATTCATCCTCTTTTTTACCTTTTAGCAGAGATATACTCTTTTTCAATTATTCCCAAAAGCTTTCACACTCTTTCCTTGCTTTGGGGTCTTAGCTACATAGGGTGAAAGTTCATAGTGTTTCTGCCTAGCAGCATCCAACACCTTTGTGTCAAATGGTGTCATGATGTCACAATGTGCCCCAAACAAGACCGTGGTGGTAGTTATGTCCAGACTCCATTACCTGAAAAGCAGCAAGGAGCAAAAGTGTCTTGTACTAGACAGCAAAATAGGATGGGGGGTAATGCAGCCCTGATAATTTTCCTGGGATTTGCCATCTATCTGATGAGTTTGTTCCCAGCTGCTTACTGCTCAGTACCAGTGAAAATCCAGAGCATGATTCGCACTACTGAGGATGAACAGGAAGAGGGAAACAGTCCAACAGCAGGTGAGAGGATGGGCTAAGTGAGAGGATGAGAAATAAGGGGCTTGGAGGGCAGGAAATGAGATTTTGTGCGGACACAGAAGCTTGGTTTTATACCAAGAAAATCAGGAAGAATGACAAGATATATGTCAGGGGGAAGTGGAGGTCCAATGATCCCTAAGGAACAGGGAGCTTGCAAAGGAGTGGGATAGCAAGGCTATGCCACAGGCCCAAGCAGGACAGGCCTGGGGATGGCAGTCAGGGTCAGACAAGAGTTCACCAGGGAGGTCCACAACATTGAGACAGGTCCAAGTTCAAGGAGGAATACCAGTCAGTGTCAGGACTAGTGATGGGGAGCAGGGTCAGACACAGTCCAGTGACGGCCCAAACCTACACTTACACAGGGCAGAGGACAATGGGACACACAAGTTCAGGCCAGTCATCAATGTTAAGGCCTCTTAGATCACCCGCAGCCCTGACTGCAGCCTCTTGTCTCAGTTGTCTCCCTCCTCACACCTTACAGAGACCTGAAAGGAAAGGTCCAGGACACCCCTGGGGACCAGGGTGAAATAATGAAAGAAAACAGGCAGACACAGTCCCATGACTGCCAAGCAAGTCCATAGTGGTAAGGCATATTCAAGATTAAACCAGGAGGTCAATTTGCAGGTCAGGATCCAGAATAACAGGGTCCAGGCACAGCTGGGACAGAGACAGAGCTGGAGATAAGTGTATTTGCAGCAGACCACAAATAGAGATCTGAGACCCAGAACCCAGCTTAAATGCAGCTCTTGGACGCATAGAATTCATGTAAAGGCTCCAGACAGGGCTTTTAAGGGCTATTACAGCATACTGCTATAGTCATGGCCCTGAAAAGATAAAAGAATGTATCTGGGGTGACTTTTGTAACAGAAAAGTAAAGGAAAGGAGAAAAACATGAAGATGCAAAGTGGAGTGAGGAAAAAGTGATTACTAAAAGAAAAGATTTAAAAATCAGAATCACAGAAACGAGAAAAGGACAAGAGAAGCAGAGAGGGGAAAGAGGTATGAATGAAAAGCTTCTTAGGATGAAGGAGAAAATAGAATGAAGGTGAAGAGGTTTTGAAAGTTTAGAAAGCAGGGAGAATAAAACAGGAGGGACGCAGAGGTAAAAAGGCTTCAAGTATGAAAGGAGTGAACAAGAAGAAAGCTTATGTTGTTTCCTTTTTCCCTCATTTACAGGCTGGGAGGAAATGGAGGAGTCATTTGTGGCCTCATCAACAGGGGAAGGAATGGAGGTGATTGATATGGTGGAGCCTGAGGGCTCAGAGACACTGAGCAATTCAGCAGTGAAGGATTTGCTCTTGGATCTGGCTCTTCTCCTCAAGATTGGTTGGGTTTTTTTTGTTTTTTTTTTCTTTAATGCGTGACATAGAGCTTGAAATAATTTCTGTCTTCATGAATGATAACAATTGGAACATCTAGCTATATTTCATGATCATCCACTGGACAATACAGCTTGTCTTCATCAACCACATCCCAGGGAACTGAATTAGAACACTGAAGACAAGGCAAAGGACCCTGTGCACATATTGAAAGTGTTTCCCTTTCCTCCTGAGAAACACAATAAATTCTCATTTTTTCTAAGCCAGACTTCCCTTCTTGCACTTCTCATATGTTCTTTGTGTAAAAAAATCATACCTAATAATAAGAATTAATTCAACTCACCAATATCACCAGTGACCCTGTCTTTTGAACAGAATATTACTAAATTCAACATATATTGGAAGAACAAAGGGAAAAAAAGCGTATTCCAGGGAACTGTATCTCCCCACACACTTTACAAGATACATACAAGAAAAGTTAGACTCCTCAAAATGTATATTGTCAGTACCTTTCACTTTTTCTAAACAAAAGAAACACAGAAGCCAAGCAGTCTCAGAACACTGAAATAATGTCTAGATTATACACTAAGTGTTGTGCAATGGTATTTGCTATTATGCTATTATGCATCTTAAAAAAGAACTGGACATGCTGCTAGGAGAAAATCAATTGGATGAGTGAAGGGAAGGAAGAGTATACACTGTTTAAATGGTAATGATAACCACAAGACAAATTTTGTTATTTTTTCTGATGGTAAATAAATAAAACTATTTTGAGGTATGCTCATTTTTCACTTGTGAAGTTCAGCTAAGAGTGCCAGACAAGTTGTGAACTGTACAAATACAGAAAAAAGATACAGGCCTGATGATAAAGCATTTGCAAAGTATTTTTTTTCCAGAAGAAAACACTTTATTAGTATTTTTGGTAATTAATGAAAACAAAATCACTGAACAGTCCATTCTTGGAGAACATTTTACTGTATTTGTCAGTACTTGAAAAGTATTAACACGGTTATTTTAAAATGCTTACATTGGTAAGAGATGTTTCCACTTGCCATCATCCACTTGCCATCATTCCACAAACAATCCCCAGGCAGACAATATACTAGGTAAAATAAAAATGTTCCCATAAACAAGAACAGTTTGAAGAGTATGCAAAAGGTATAAGTATTTTGTATACTTATTAATGTCAGTGAATTTTAGAACATTAGTATAAATTTTCTAATGATGAGAACTTGAAATAGCTGTAATTATTACATTGCCCATAAGAATGTACTTCAGGCACTTCTGCTATCCCAAATCATGTTGCTTCTTACTCTGCTTTTGCTCTAAAGCAAATTAATACCTAAAATTCGATTTCAAGTAGCAAGTAAAATCCTGTAACAGCTCTACTCCTCTGCTTGGATGGTAAATATTTACAAATGTAGGGACAGAACCAGGTTCAGAATCCAGAGAAGCTCTTGGAATTCCAGTAGTTCAACCTTGAGAAACTTCTAGAAACCTTTGTGACTGTCCCATACTGCATCTTTTACCATATCCTTAACCCTAGACACCAAAAAACAGAGGATCTTGTTGGAAAACAAAGAGAATCTGTTCTCAGCTCCTCAGTTACCCTCCCATTAATGGGGATGCTTTCCTCTTTCTTCTTATGTCTGAGTTTTGCTGATGAAAAAAAAAGCAGAGTAGAGAAGGCCTTCAGTAAACTTCATTATTAAGTCACTTAACTTTCAGCTGACAAATTGTAGCCACTGAGTCTTTCCTGGCACCTGTCTCCATTTATTATCAAAAGAAGAGGATTCTTCCCTCTCTTATAAGTTATGTGTGGTTTGCACAGTACCCCACAGGATTTTGCCCAAGAGCTATTGTAAGATATGAACAAGTCTTACAGCTCCAGTTTATTGACTTGCCCTTTCAACAGGACTGTGAGGCTGCTGGAGCAGACAGGTAAATGCGCTCAACAGAGGGACTAATCATGTAATAGTCTTTCTGTTCACAACTACTCACAAGCTGTTGCCTACTAGAAACTGGCCGGTCACCTTGCTGCCCTAGGACTTGTCACACATCTAGGACAGAGCACTGAGAGCCTTGGAGGAGAACCTCTCCTTATGAGATCAGTTTGAGAATTTCCCTGCCATCAAATGCTGGGGAAAGGAGAGCAAGAAAAGGAGGGCAAAGGAGTGAATAAGAGCACTATGTCACCCTAGAGGCCCTAAGAAGAAGGTCATTATTTTCATGTGTCAGGCCTTCCTCTCCCTGGGATCACATCTCTCTTCCTCCTCTTCCATGTGCATTACCAGATGCAGCATTTGTTGTCTGGGTTCATTGGGGATCCACTGGGACATTGGAAGCTCTTGGAAAAGTCCTGGCTATTGCTGACAGGCCCAGAGACACGAAGTGGCAAGGGACTATGTGGATCTGTGTTCAGGGAGGACTGGAGCATCTCTGGATCCTGGTGTCCACACATTGCCTGAAGGGAAGCAAAACAGAACAGTCAGTTTGGCTGAAAGTCCTCATGTGAACAAGACTTACGGTTCATCATGCCTCTGCATGTGTCAGAGGGTGCTGGAGTAAACAAGGAAATGTGCATATGTGGCTAACAATAATGGTCAGATTTTCTTTGGATTGTTTTCCTTTTCCTTAAACTTCTTTGTCCCCATTTCACTCTCTGACAAGTCATCTGCACTTTTTCTATACTGCACAGTCCAGTATACAGAAAATTTAGGCCACCCTGTCTGGGCTCTTGCAACCTTGGACTCTGTCTAAAAAAGTGGTAAAGACGTCTCAGTGCCTAGATTCAGCTTCTTAATTGAAATCAACGAGTGCTCATCAACAATGGAGAGCACTTATACAAAATCCCATCACTATTCTAAAGACTCAGGGGAGGATTATATGATTTTACTGGTGTTAAACTGGCAATCCAAGTCTTCACTCTCATGACTGCAGTGGTTTTTTATCAACAAATGATGCAGTAGCTGCTATTTAGCCTCTAAAATGCAAATCTTGCTGCCAAGACCCAATAAGCTGTTTTTTCATGCTCTGCTCTGACTTTAATAAACACACAAAACTTCTCACTTTGCACAATTACAATGACTTATAAGTGATTTTTTGAGCACAGAAATCCCACCATCTATCACGAGGAACTTTGCAGCACAGCTATGCATAGCTGCACAATTTACTGCAGCTACCCACAGAATCAGCAGACTATGGGTGCATGTACTTCTAGTTCTTTATCTCTAAATAACATTTGAAACTCTTTTTTTCACTATCAGTCACTAAGAGTGACATGATATCCAGCTATTCATCATGACAGAAAGGGGAATGAGGGGAGGGAGGGACAGATACATGACTTTTACACTTATATTTCACTTTCCATTGCTCACAAAAATTTTAAGATTGACTTTTTTTGCTGCTGTGAGCAGAGGCTGGCAATGAAGCCTGCTTTCCCTGACACAGCTGGTCTGCTATGACTTAATTTTGGTGGATTTCAGTGTTTTGTAAAATATATATTTGCAGACAGGCCTTTTGTCTGCTTTGAGATCCTTAACAGGTTAGGAGCTGTAAATATGAATTTTAGCTACTAAATAAGATTCTGTATCTCACAGAATCATTGATCATTTTCAGCTCTCTGAAGAGGGGGGAAGTGACTGAATATTGACAAAGACAAACTGTAAGAGTGTGGAAGAAATGGAGAGTGAAGACACATGATTAGACTCATTCATTACATGAGCAAAACTGAGGTAGAAAAGTTGATCATGTGAAAGTCCAATCTTAGGTAAATCCTTCTCTTTGTGCTTTTTCAACCAATTCTTATAGGCCTGTGGAGAGATAAAATGGATAATTATAAATCTTCCTTAGACAGTACCACTAGCTCATATCTTCTGTTAATGAGATCTATCAATCTAATACATATTTAATAAATTAGCAAGTATTTAATAAATTAGCCTCATTCTGAGGCTCTCTGCTGATGGCCGTGCTCTTAATAAATCTAAAGTGGGAGAATACAACGTAATTACTTTCCTTAACATTTCAGATGCTACTACACAGATACTACCACACACATTATCATAGGATTTGGTAATTATACTATGAAAGAATGAAAATTATTTTCAAAACAGATCACAAATACTTGACTATAAATGAAACACTTCCTGCCTCCCAATGTTCTTCATGAAAGAATGTAACAAATACCATTTCAGACCTAGGGATCTCATACCACCCTCAGCAGTTAAACTCCTGAAGTACTGCATCAGAAAACAAAAAAATTCTCTGTAAAGTACTGCTGAAAACATTGTTATGGAGTCATTTCACCACCACACAAAATTCTGTTTCATGTCTCAGCTTACTTCCTCAATTATAACATAAGCATATATACAATAGCATGCTTTTGTAAGAATGATATCAACAGGTAAGTAAGGGTGGTGAAGGGGAGGAGTTGTCTTACAGGGACATATTGAGGCTATGAGCAAAGCTTTGTGAGGAACCTCTCTCTGGACTAACAGAGGACGTGCTGGGGTCATATTTCACCAGCACAGGTGAGCAGGAAATCTGGAAATCTGGAACTGGAGCAGGATGTGATACAGGGGAGCAGCAGGGCAATCTTGTGTGTCATGCAGTGAGACTATGAGATTGTAGAAGTAAATCATGATACCTGGTAAGCGATGGCGACCCCTCCAGTGTCAGCTGTATTCTCCAACAGTGTGAAGGTGCCATTGACATTAAAGCTGTAGCTTTCATACTGTTCAACCAAGCAGTCTATAGACCTTTGTAGTGCACTCCTGTTGCATGCAGGACAGCCCCCAGGCAACACTGTGGGGGGAAAAAGCCCTAGAAGTAAAGCTATTTATGGCATTCCTGTGTTCCTCATATTAATCACTGATTCTTCCTAGAAGCCAGCATGGACAGAAATATGTTTTCCTTAAGTTCATCTACCTTAATAATATATTGTATATATTGATGTAAAGACTGGGATTTCAGATCCTCTAAGGGGAAGTACCAGTGGGACCTAGAAGAGTAAATGAAAACACCACAGCCATACGTACCATAACCATAGAATGAGTGAAGAATTTCATGTGCCATGAAGACCCCGATGGCTCCAAAGTTCACAGCGCTGAAAAATAAAGATGAAAATACTGCTTTTGGAAAGAAAAAGAGGGCAGAGGAGCATTCTTTGTAGCCTCTGAGCACAACTCTCTGCTCAACAGGAGCGTTCTGCTCTGGGACCACACCAAACCATTTTCTACGTATTGCTACTGAGGCATGCAAAAGTGAAAATACAAGTGAAAATTATCCTTATGCTTAAAATTGTACTATGGGCTTATTTTAAAGTATTTCTCACTAATAAGCCACCATAACAATGAAGAGTCTATGAATGAAATTCTGCCTTTATGAGGTGTAATGTCGGGTGTTGTTGTTGATACATGTTCTTTGAACCTCTACTGCCTGAACTGCTGCATAAACAGCAACTACAATGGTGACCATGCAAAAGCAGGATGTCTGGAGAAGCAATCTTGCAATTTTTGTCTAGTGAGAAAGGATACATAAAATTGGCAAGGCAAATTCAAATCATGGTGTTTTGACTGCAATTACTCTGGTCTAGCAACCTCCAGTAGTTCTTTTCAAATGGAATTTCTATGGTTCTATGCAAAGAATTTACAGATACTCTCACAAGGTAGAGAACATCAAAATGCATTTCCATTATATGAAATTATGGGCTTGTTCTTTCTTCCCATGCACTGATTAACCCTGCTGAAGCATGAAATTTTCATTATTCCATCACTGGGAATTTGGTAGGAGCTCTATAGCTGATAATTTATAAATTTTACCCAGAGAAGCTGTGGATGCCCCACCCTTGGGAGTGTTCAGGGCCAGGTTGGATGGAGCTCTGAGCAACCTGGTCTAGTGGACGGTGTCCCTGCCCATGGCAGGGGGGGTTGAACTCTATAGATGATCTTTAAAGGTTTCTTCCAACCCAAACCTTTTTATGATTCTATGATTCCATAACAATTGTACTGATTTCCTGAGTTCTTATTTTAAAAATTATCCTCACAGTCACCTGAATTGACTTTTACCAGTAAAGTTTAAAATCTGGAGCATTATCTGAGAAAATGCTATTATACCAACTCACCAAAAGGTGATCAAGTTTTACTTAGCAGTCTACTCAACTGAGGTGACAGTGAGAAAAATGTACTTTACTAACACCAAATACAAAAGGAATAAGAAGGCACAGACACTTTTTCACAGTGAAAGAATATAGTCACAGACCATACCACTGGAAAAAAAAATAATTATTTTCTACTACTCTTTTGAGATGTCCTTTTCTTCATACTATAATAAATTAATTAAATACTGCAAGCAGTAGAAGATCATCATCAAGAAAATAATTACTTTTAACTGAAACATGTTTCTTTTGAACTTCAGCCTCTTGTCACAATGTGAGCTTATTTTTCAGTACAATGGTATTAAGACAAGTATCTATCCACTATAGGCAAAAAGGACATAGAATTATATGTTTACAGTCAACTGTTTGGAGTGCTTTTATTACCAGAAAAAATATTGCTTAAGAGGTCTGTTCCATATGACGAAAGAACAGAACCAGAGAAGTATGGTCTAGAGAAGTGTTGTTATTGTGAGGGAAAACTCAGAGTTAAAAATCTATTTGCTTAGTAGAAAGGGTTTCTTAAAAAAAAAATGAGAGGAGAACTGTGATACATTTGAAAAAGACTTCTGTCAAGAAGTTGCTGTGCGAGACTCTTATTTTCTCTGGGTTAGATTTCAGGAATCCTTGGAATTTAGAAAATGAGAGGCAAAGGTGAAATGTCTTCTTTACAGTTAACCTACACATGACTTCTGCCTCTTTGCTCTGGAGTAATATCTTTGTATTAGTTCAGTTTCACCTAGATTCCGATTTTGCTTCAGCAGGTCAATGATTACTCTCTCTCAGAATGAATCAAGCAGTATCCATCTGGCTTTAGAGAAAGCTGTGCTTCCCCCCCTTTCCTGTGACTTTCTAGGATGCAGTAAGAAAAAGAAATTAAAGACAGCCTGCTAAGACTCCTCCTGGAAGCATGGTGCAGCCCAGGGACTACATTCAGCTTGCACCTCTGAAGCCCCTCCATACCTGGGAAACTCCATGTGGAAAAAAGGACTGCGGAACATTCCAGCTGGAAGGACCACCATGTGGTCTGTCATTGAATAGTATGAATGCACGCTCCAGGGGTGCACATGCCAGCTAGAAGCAAAACAAGAGAAATTAGAGAATGTATTATCCTTATCTCCATATCTCACACTTTGATCCTTTCCTTCACTGAGCTTGCAAAAACAGTTCAACTGTTCATACAGCACCAGCAAATGATGAAATTCACTTTATCTAGAATTACAAATCTTACAAATCTTTGCTTGTTTACAGATGGTCAGAACTAATAGCTTAGTTTTCAAAGACATGAAGGGATTCTCCCTCACAGTTTCCCTGTCAAGTAAATTAGGATTAGTATCTTCTTGTGAAGTCCTGCATAGAATACTCTGCAGGAGGTGTAAGGAGGTGTCTGTATGTCAATGCTGCCTTCCTTCTGAAGCATCCTATGTCCTGCCTTTGAGGTGACTCCACCAGCATTCCTGTCATGACAGTGCTTTGCTCTTGGCTTTGTTAGGAAGTCCAGGAGAATCAGCTATCCCCCTTAATTAAGGGTGCATGGTCAAAAAAAGTGGGTTTTTTTAAGGAGTCTGGTGCTCTCTTCACAATGATGGGGTACTTTGGTAGCATTGCTCAGGCTCCATGCAAGAAAGGTTGCCAGATTCAAGGTTTCTTTAAAGCAGGATGCAGAGATGCAGACTTGCAGCAACATTCAGAACTGGCAAATCCACAGTCAGAGGTACTGAATCCAATTCTGCTCACTGGCCCTCACCTACCCTTCCTCCTTTTCCACAGAAAAAGAGAGATATAGACGTACAGTTATCACAGTTCTGAGTGACCTGCTCTAACTAATCCTGCTTTGAGCAGGAGGATTGGACTAGGTGAACTCCACAGATTCCTTCCAACCTCAGCTGGTTCACAAGTATGTGATTCTCTTATACTTTTCAGATCACTGACTTACTTTTTCTGTGGGTAATGCTGAAGGAGCTTCAGGTAGGAATTTTCCCTCAGTACTTTCAAACAAGCCACCACATTGAGGAAAAAAGTATCTTCATTTATCTCCAGCTGAGGGGAGAGACAGGGAATGTGACTGTCACAGGGCATAAGCAAGGAATTAATTGAACAATTGAGAAAAGGAAAAAATGAGAAAAAGAAAAGTCACAAGGTTCAAAAAAGGGTTAATCAAAAGAGAAACCAAAGGGATACTTGTGTTTTTTTTCTCTCTCAGTTCTAAAGACCTTCAATTTAAGATATGACAGGAATGTTATCTGAAGACCAAACAGAATATACGAACAGGTAAAAAATTACTTCTATCAGGCCAGCCACTCTAAATAGGAGACAGTATAGGTAACGATACAGAAGAACAGATAAAGATTCTCTGGTCCCATATGTTCCCAAAAAATGAGCAATAGGAAATGTGCTCCAGAGGTCGTAGCCTCTTTTGTAAGCAAACAGGATAGCAGTTGATACAGGTAAACTGCCAGTAATGAGGCAGACATGTTTACATTATATAGCTCACATTCTGGTATTCCAGGTTCACTTTGTCAGTCTGGAGTATGTGAGCTGGATAACCAATCTCCACTTGTAGTTTGGATACCTAAAATAATAACAAACAAACATAAATTGATCCTATTGATCAATAGGAGGCTTTACATTCTGCAAATCCTTTAAAAGGCTATTTCTAACCAATGTAAGCATGATCTGTGAGTCAGCCCTTAAAAAAGGACAACCACTCTGTTTCAAGAAGACATCTTGTCCTGCTTCTCTGCTTTCTCAGCTCTCTGGAGAGAGGCCTAATTGTTCTATTGTTCTATTTGTTTCTAAGTGTTCTAATTGTTCTATTCTTTTTCTTTGTATTGCCTTCTGCCATTCAGCTTTTTAGCTTTTAACATTCCTAGATGTATAAAATTGAATTGTATTTCAAAAAAAGTAATTCAGAGTATTCATGGACAGACAAAAACAGACTCTCTGTGCCTACATATCAGTGTATGTAGCCATGCATGCTGGCACTTACAAAACCTCCAGTAGGTTTTTTCACTTTCAATTTTTAGTATGAATATGACATCTATTTAAGACTGTGTGCCTGTAGAAGCAGTTAGGAATACGTAAAGGTGCAGGTCTCTTCCATTTGATCTCCAAAGGCTTCCAGGGAAAGGAAGGCCTCAGTAATTTCTGCCTTCTGCACGCACCAAGGCTTTAGCATTTCGGCGAGTCTGTTCATCCATCCACTCCACCTGATCGAGGCGGTCACAGAGGGCATCTTGGATCACAGAGAACATCTGCTCAGCCTGCCATGGAGAAAAGAAGACATGGTCACAACTGCACAAAAACATTGCTCACTCTTAGCTACCATCTTCCCATGTTCTAGCAATTCAACCACAGAATAACCGGAAAAATTCCTTTTTTTGTGTGTGTGATGAAAAATATTTCAGTTTCTACAGTGATTTAGTCTTAAAGTTATTTGGCATCCAGTTTTTCCTCACATGGCTCACCATCTTCTCCCACACACCTTTTCATCTGGCCTCTCACAGTAAGTAGGAGGGAGACAATTCCTTCTCATTCAATAATGAATAATTTCCCTCTTCTTGAACAAAATGAAAATTCAGTATCCACAAGTATTTCTTGCTGGTGTCTCCCTTTCCAAAATTATGGCAATCTGAGTCAACCCTTCTCAAAATTATGTTTTATTCATTAATATTTATGCTTCACTACATGTAGTCTTAGTTCTCTCATTAGCTTTTCTTGGTGTTATTTACTCTTGTCACCTTATAAGCTTCCAACTCTTTGAGGTGCTACACTAACTTTGCTCGAAAGAAAAAGGAAGTCTGACCATCACAGGAGGAAAGAAAAAGAAATCTTTTCCACACTACAGGCAGGTCTTCTTTTTACTGTGGATCTACACAGAATGTTTTCATATGATTGCTTAGTGTCATTGCAATTGAAAATCTTATTGAGATATATCACATTGGTGATGGATACTGTTAACAAAAACTGCTATTCCAGGGAGCACACAGAGATTTTGTAGGGCTGTCATAGCTATTGGTGCTGCACATATGATTTTTCTAACAGTTGAGACAAAGATAATAGCTGGTATTTAGCAATGATTATTCTAGAATGACACCAATGTCTTGTTCTGACATATTCACAAAAAAGGAGGGGAAGTGTATTAGCAGAGGAACAAAAGGTAGGAAACCTACAGATGATTTTACTGCCTTGATGTAGTCTTAAGGTCTCATGTCAGAAAAAGAAAGAGGTGAAACTGAACTCTGCTTGAGGGTTAAGATGATGAATACCTACAAATTTCTTGGTCTGCTCAGGAAAGATTTCTTGCACAATCATCTTTCCTAGAACTGGGTCAAAGAAAGAGCTGGTATCACTCAAGCACTTCCTCCAGCGTTCAGCTGGGATCTGTAGGAACAAAGAAGACACATGAGAGTGAGGACAAAGAACTAGGAAATCAACAAAATTATATGTAGAAGTGTGGACAGTAGCACTGTCTAAAAATTACATCAGTGAATAAGTAATGCAGTTCTAGTGAAACATTTATTTCCTTATGATTTACTCCACTTACTTTACTTCAAGATGGAGATTAGCAGAGAAAAAGCCATAGAAGAAAGGTGACCATCTATATATTTTTCCCTACTCCATGATACAGTACGCTCAGCTCTCTAAACTTTTGAGTGTCATGTCTACTCACACATTTCTTTTGAGAAAAAAGAAGCACTTAATGACCATGGGAGAGTAGTTTTTCTCCCCAAATCTAAGAAACTCCATCCATCTAAGCAATCAAGAGAACATTCAGAAGGCACCACCAACAGTGTTCAGCTGTTGGGGAGGCTGAAGAAGCTGATAGAAGGCTAACTCACCATTCTAGATCCCATTTTTCCATAAAGGATCTTATACAGCTCCAGGCGTGCATCCTGGAATTGACTGTCAAGGGCTGGGGAGAGATTCCCAACCAGACAAACAATCATATAAATGTGAAGGACCCTGTGGACAGAAGATTGAAGGCTGGTCACCACAAACACAGAAACGAGGCAAGTGTCAGAGGAGTAACTTGAGGCAGAGAAATCCTAGGAACCTGAACAATGACAACAAAGTACTTTGAATGTAATACAGCTGGGGCTATCAAAGGAGAGTGATTGACATGAGTCAACGAAAGAAACTCCCCAAAACACTGCAGAGACTCATGGGTAACTCCCTGCTGGGGCACAGGATTCTTTCTGGGAAGTTGGAGAAGGATAATTTTTAGAACTGGGTGAAACATAGAATATTATGGGAGGTCTTTGATATTACGTAAGATTTATGATGGCATGTTTATGGGAAGGATCAAAGGCAGGGAAAGGGAAAGATCATAGTGGATTGGGAGGATATATGTGGGAAAATGGAGAGGAAAGCCAGTAAGAGGGAACGGTTGAATGTCAACTTGTGCTTGCCAGGGTGTCTGCCTGACTGAGCCCTGAACATGGTAACCAGCATAACAGGAGGTAATATCCTCCTATCTTATTAAATGCTATTGTTAACTAACATTCTACTCCCTGTGTGTGAAGATGGAACTGAATGCTGGAGAGATGACAAGTCTGAGAGTTGATTATTGGAAGGACTTTGGATCCAGCTAGCTTCTGGAGAGAGCAGCAGTCTGAGAGCTGGCTATTGGAAATACTAGTGGTTGGGAGCAGCTACTGAAGAGACTGATAGTATAGGTGTATTTGTAACAGGAAGATGCCGGAGTACCAGCAACCAAAGTAGAGCTGCAAGGCTCAGGGGCTCATCTATTCATGTGATATATCCAAGTGAACGCCAGGAGATTTTGGCCAGCTTCTTGACAAACTGAATACCTAAAATCAGCTACTGGAGTCACATATTTCACTAGTATAGACCAATCCTGATCAGCTGCAGTTGAGGAATAGGATCAGTCTGGGTTCATGTTGGTACAAGTGCTAAGGGTGGATGGGTGCCAGTCAAGACACTGTGCTCCTTCTCTGTGTGACACACATAAACATATTATTTTATACATGTGTCCATACATGGTGTATGCATATGCAAACCTATTGGGAATATATGCTAAGCCATAACACTGGCCAAACCTGTGGATATAAAGCCACAGCAGCCTTGCAATTGTTAAGACTACTGGATTCAGCAGCCTCTAACACAGCAACCTCTAAACTTCTGGTATTTGAAGAAAATATTTCTTGTGGTATGAACAACTGCAACCACAGATATTGACTCTTACCTTCCCTTGTGCCACTTCTCGATAAGCTGTGACATGTTGCTTAAGTAATCCATGTCATGCACTGCAATTGGCTGAGAGAGGTTCATTGGCACAGATTGAAAGACAGCCTTGAGACACGCCAGCCAGTCAATAGCTGGTGCCTTTTCCTGCAAGTAAAACAAAGCTTACATGCTGAACTATGAATCTAAACTGGCTCACAAGAAATAACAGGGAAACAAAGATAGTCTTCAGAATACTGTTAAAAGATACTTTCAACAATTTAAATTGTTTTTATAATGTACATCTTGAAGAGAAGAATTTAATTTTTTTTAAAGGGAATTAGGACTGGGGAGGGGAGAGAGTTGTGGGCCTGATAAAACTCTGTCAGTTAAAGACCATAAGTTACTGGGTTATTTAAAGCTCACAGGCTCCAAGTGCAATTTTCAAGACAATGGCATTTAAACACAGAGCCTCATATCTCTTTTGATCTGGATCTTCAGAATGAAGATATGAATGTCACATGTAACTGTGTTACTCAAGCTTTAAGGCATGGATACCTGTAGCTCCCTAATGGTAGTGCGAAAGAACAGCATCCCCCTCTGCTGTCTTTTCTGCAGTGGAGTTACAAATTTCTGGAGGTTAGAGATGAAGGACAAGGTCAGGGAAAAGGAATCAGGGGGACCATCCTCTGTCCTTCCAAGTAGGACCCCCAGTTTCTTCAAATATGAAAGATACACACGGAGAACCTGCAATACAGAGCATATGACCAATGGAAGGTACATGACTGAAATTAGTCACTCCATCCATCCATCTATCCATCCATTCATCCATCCATCCATCTTGACTGTACAAACTTCAGTATTTCAAAACTACCACAGACCAACTCCATCCCTAAAACTGTTTTCTTGCTGCAACATCCTTATGTAATTATTCTTGTAGAATACACTTGCCAAGTACAGCTCCTCTCTCAATGAGGAACACTGAATTTCCAAAAGATTATTTTTCTCACAGCACACAATTACTTCAAACACTAGAATAACTTTAGAGATGTTGGCCTGCCATCTCTGGTGTCAGAGAAGAAAAATTCAGTGATATAATAAGCCAGAAATGTAATGGAGAGAAAATGTCAACTTCTTGTTTCTATTTTCATGAATTTTCAGAGGAATGCTTGTGATGGCTCAGGGTTTTTTTTGAGGACTTTTCTGAAAGACTCGGATTGAGAAACTGACATAACTCAGTTTTTATGAAGTTCAGAAATGACAAAGTTAATTTTGTTACAATGGCCAAAAGTCAAAGAAATTGTTCTCCCAACATATGTTCAAGCACTTTAAAATAAGCTTAAAAATGATAGCTATTCCTCTCTACAATACACAAATGTTGTTATAAAGCCTTATTTTGGACAAAAACATTTTTTTAAAAAGCGTTCATTCAAGGCAAAAACTAAAAGGAAGCCCAGGTTCAGACTATTTTGCAAACAGTAATTTAAATTATAACATTAGGTTTCTACACTATAAGTTTTAAACCTGGTATCTAAAATGGGTTACATGTTAAAATCTATCCTTTGGAAAAAGTGAGTTTAGTAAAGAATTCTTTCTGTAGGCATTCTCAGAGGTCACTGACCGTAACCCATGGAAACACTCTGAACCAGGAGACAACTCAAGGAGATCCCTGCATCAAATAGCTATTTTTACCTTTCTTCAGCCTCTGATATGTTACCTCAAGATAATTTTTCTCTTTGAATTCACTCTCAAGTGGAATATCAAACTCAGGATGGTCAATCTGCAAAAAGGAGTAAAGGAAAAACTTATTATTTTTCAGAAACAATGCAAATGTGAGGATATTTTGGTAATTTCTGTATCATGGAATTTGAAATGCTATAAACTTGCTTTTACTTTTGGAAAATGTTTGCTAAGTTCTTCAGAGGAGGACACAGGCTTAACTTGAGCAAGCCTTGCTGACTCTTTACTTACAGTGCTTCCTTGATAATGCACTTTCTTTAGGACACTCACCTGAATAATATTGGTCTTGGGGTCAAAAGGACTAGGTCCCACACGGACTCTAAAAAATGGAAAGGTGCTGTATCTGCTCATGAGAATCTGAAGAGTTTCATTAAAATCTTTTGTTTTCCCCACACCTGTCTTTTGCCATCCACCAACCTAGAGAAAGACAGAAATGCTGCAACTGAGAAAAAACTGGTTGGATCTGTATTTACAATTTTTTTTTTTTTTTTTTTTTTACGCCTATAAGCTCCGTCATTCTGATAACTGAGAAGCAATAAAGCAAAAAGCACCAGGGGAAACTCGTGAAGTGCTCTACATACCCTGCTGACTTTAAAATGACCTGACACTTTCCTTTAAGCAAAGCAATGAACTGCAAAATGACACAAGGAAAATGAATTGTAATTAGCAACAGAGTAAGGTGTGCAGGAAAAAATGCTGGATAAGCAGGAGACAGGAAAATAGGTCTCATTTTTCTAAAGCCATCCCAAAGGACAAACACTGTAATCAGTGATTACAGGTCCCACCTCCCTGACAAGCAGATTCACAGGTGGGCCTGTAGTCACTGTTCCTTTTTTTGGAAGGTTCTATATCCTCTTCTGACACAGGGCATAAATGCTCTTTGCTGGAAGAAAGATGTCCAGCCCTCCCTGGCACCAAGAGGAGTTTCCCAGAATGGAAAGAGAGGGATTTTCTCCTTTAAACAAGCTGTCCTGGAAGCCTTGACTACTGAATGATCATCTGGTTTTAGACACAACAATTTCACCCATTTGCAAGATGTTCCCCAATCTGTGAGTCAGATCCTACTGAACCAAACTTCTGAGATTAAGCATGAACTCTCTTTGTAGACCTGCTGGCTTTTTCCATCCTTAATATATAAGGTTATAAGGAGAGATTCAGGTAGCTGATGTCAGAAAATCAGTTCTTGAAACACCATTTAAAGCTAGAAGATTTATCACTTAGCAGTTGTGTTGTGAACCATGACTATGGTCAGGTTCTAGAAAAGTTACATCACGTAGGACTATATGACCCCATCTGCCCACTTCTCCCTGCAGGAATTCTCTTCCTGAGGGAGAGGAAATAGCACACACATTCACCTGATTTAGGAAGTCCTTCAATGGTTGAGCTCCTTGGGATTCTATTCGTTCAGTATCCATGCAGGAACGATAAAATCGCATTGCTTTCTCCTTGGCTGAGCCTCTTACCCCAGATTGTGGACTTTCTGAGGAAAAAAGTAGATTTAAAATTTTCAATAAAAGCAATAAAAAACGTAAGTTGGGACAGTATTAGAGCAGAGAACAGTTTTAAGAAAATACTGTGCTTTGATCCAGAACATTCTAACAAATACATCCACATTTCCCACAGTGATCCAAAGCAAGGGACCGACTAGTCCTGAGGCCAAATACGTGAATTTCTTTGCATGGAAAAAAGAGTACAACAGGAAGTAGGTGCATATCTAGGCTTCAGTCCCCCATGGAGACAGGACACATCACCAGAGTGCACATTCAGACTAGCGCAGCAACAATGTCCTACTTTGACAAGGTAACAGGAAAATGGTTTGGGTAACAGGAAAATGGGTTGGGTTGCTGTCAGAATTTTAAAGCGTGACTTTCATCTGTTACACTTGGCAAGAGGAACTAAAATATTTAAAATGCATTTACTGTAACATGACATGCTCAAAAAATAAATCTGTACCTGTAACGATGGGAGAACAAAGAGAGAGGACTCAGTCCCTGTTAAGAATGACTGTGCTCTCAGTTACTACTATTGCCAGCTCTGACTGAGGCAGATGCAAAAGGTAACACAGCAATCATCTGTCCCTACCTAAAAGCCTTTTCAGGATCAACAGGTTTTCTTCCAACAACACATCAAATACATTTAGTGATTCTTCTCTGGTTCTGCTTGACTGCTTGTCTTCCCATCTGCCACAGGCATATTTGTAGAAGTTCTCACAGGGGTTTACAGTGTCATTTCTAGAATTCAGAAGTCTTTCCAACAGTGCAAGATCTGACTCAGCATCACAGGATCCTGAAGAGGAAGTAAATAAGAGAGAACTGAGAAGTGAGAGTGGAGAGTGAGAATAACCCCAAGCAAAAATCTTTTAGGGGATATTTACCCCAAAAGACTATTTTTGGTACAAGCTCCTTTGCATGCAGTGTTGAATTCCTTGGAAGGTATTGCTGAATATGGAGGAAGTGTGTTCTCTCTTTCACATCCCAAGAAGATGTCCTCTGTACTATCTAGGCAGCCACAGGTTGGATTACTCTGCCTTCTCAGCATCTTTCCTCTGAATCAGCCAAATTTGGCCACATGATAAACAAGAAGCAACTGATGGTGTTAATACATGATGGAAGAGAAGGACATAGCAAAGAGAAAGTAATGGGCTAAGATTAAAACATGTTTTTTTCAAACATGAGAAATATTTCCCAGCAATGACATTTGTCAAAAGAGAATAAGGACGTTCTAGAATATCTTGTTTTAATCTATAATTTTCTTTTTTTAAACTGTTTCAAATCACTACATATATACATTGTCATTTTAGTTCAGTATCTCATATCAACATCAGATTAGATCAATTATTTACTGAAATAATCCACCTGTAAATCAAGGTAAGATTTCCTGTAGTATGGTTTCAAAGTTGACATGGGAGAAGGTAGGCAGAGTGGAAATGGACTAAATCTAAACAGTTTTTCCTTGGTCTCTGCAGTGAACCATCTCCAACATATAACAAGAGCTGAAGAAAAAAGCTACATAAAGATTCAACAGTGCTTATTTTGGGGCAGGGAATGTCTGTGTCTACCAATATAAATGCACCTTCTGTACTGAGCTTTCTATATGCAGAGACATTCACATGGACCATTCTTCAGATAGTTCTTTAGCAAATTTGGAAGGCAAATTAATGTTTCTGGTCTATACTCACAGCTTCTCCATTAGCAAGAAACTCTGACTTTTGCTTTTACTCTATGACTGCTCTGATCTATGGTAAAAAACCAGGACTAAACTTAAGTCAGAGATAGAAAGGCAAAGGAAGAGCTTCAAGTCTCATATTCAGTTCAGTTTCTTGACTACAGAGAGAGCAGAACACATTGATGAGCTACAAGACTATATAATGCTGTTCTCCCCCAAAACTGGGCTAAGGCATATTAAATCACAAGCAGAAGAGGACAGATGTGGAGGACCTCCCCGCACTGTGACTCAAGGAACAGGTAGAAAAATGTACCTTTTTGACAAAAGGTGTTATGATTCCTGGAGATTCTGAAAGTCTGGTTCTTAATACTGATGTTAAGCTTAAAACACAGTGGAGACAGGCAAGAGAGAAAAGGATCTTAAAAATGGGGTGGATGAGGAAGAATGGAAAAGGATATATCATATTATACCTAGAGCACAAGTCATCATGAGGTAGGTGATAAGCAATGTAAAGCCAAGGAGAGTACTGAGAAGAAGTGCACATAGAAGTAGGCTTTTCCCCTGAAGGCATCGTTCTTTCTCTGCACCTGTTCTCAGCTCCTGGTCACAGGTCTGAAGAGACAGAAAAAATGAAGAAAGAAAAATTCTTATTAAGGTTAGCACTAACAACATACTCCATTTTCCACCTAATCTACTAGAAAACCATTTACAAGACTAGTGTCAAAACATCAATAGTCATCCAAATCATCTACACGACTGTACTCCCACGGGCTTTCTCACTTTCTTCATTTCCCTGGTTTTTCTGATACTTCCTGAAGATATCAAAGCCTTTTTGAGTCTATAAAGCTAATAATAGGATGGCTAGGACTGATGGATCTTTATTCTGCCAGTATGGCAATCTGAGCACTAATTTCAGATCTCTCCTCAAGAAATAAAGTACTGCATCCTAAGCCCTCTAGTCCAATTCAGGTGAAAGAAAATATTTTTTTCTATTCTGCAAACTGGAGTAAACTGTAAATCGCTGAGAAGATCTTATATAGAGACAGGTTTTATCTCCCTTAAATTTAGTTTTGTTCATAATCTAGGTGTGTCTTTTTAGTCCGTGGAACAGGCTAGGGACCTAACGAGTACACCTTCTGTTTTAGTTATCTGTTTCAGGATGAGCTGAAGCATTCTCTGGAGTTATTTGTCCTTTTCTCTGTTGGCTGCAAAGGAAGCTAGATGACTATCATAGGATACACCCCTAATATCTACCTGGATATAGTTAGGTAAGATGGCATTTTCTCTTCTTCTGCATACTTTGATGTACATAAGACTGGAAAACAGCAGTTTATGAAAGAACAGACACAGGAATGCATGCTGGTAATATATGAGGAAAGGGAAAGAATTGAAAAAAAATGAAAAGTGGAATGACAGAATAAGAGTATACAGTAAGAAAAGGGAGGCAGACGGGAGACAAAAACAAGATAATGGAAAACCTCAGCTGTAGCAAACAAGGAAAAAAGTGACAGCTGATGGAAGTGCTACTGGGAGAATCCTACATGTCACTGTCAGGGCCTGGCCTGTACTGTCCCCACAGGCTCAAGTGTATCTCCCTGTTCTATCCTGGTGCTTTGATAAAAGAAATCTCTTCTTGAGAAACCTTATCAGGACTTGGAATTCTTTGAGGAAAGGCAAGAAGGAGCCTTAGTGCACGTGCCCACTTCTTCACTTGGCCATTTGCAGCTCTCCTGTGTAGTCTCCATCTGAGCTCTGCTGCAATGGCAGGCATGCCTTTGTCTGGATGGCATCCCATCCATCTGGATCCTGACCATCACCTACATTCTGATTCTGCAGGTTTGCTCTTGGACCTGCCTCCTCACAAGGGACTCACCTGGCAATCTACACTCTTGGTTGACCCTGGGCACTGTCACCAGGCCACCTTACAGCCCTCATGCCCATACTGGGGGCCTTGCTCCTTAAGTCATTGCTTCTTGCCTGCCTTCTCATGACTCTCAGGTCCCAGATTGTCATCTCCCTTCTGCCTTTGCTGCTCCCTTACATGCAGCACACTTGGTATCTGTGTTCTTTGACACAAAACTAGGAAGCATAGATCTTGACAAAAATCACAAGAAATGGAACAAAATCTTACAGGAATTAATTATGTCACAGTATATGTCCCTTCACCTAAGGAAACATTAAGGAAATCAATGAGTCTGCTGTTAATCATCTTGACTAATATACTGTGTACAACTTCTGCACAAAAACATTAACAGAAAACAAAAATAAGTGATAAGAAACCAAACCTCATAATTTTATAATCTTTCAAACGTGCATTTTATTCAATCTTGAATAAAAGCCTCTGAAAGGCTTACTCAACTCCTGGAGATTACTAACAAGAGCTGAGTGCCTAATGCTTTCCTCCTTTAAAATCCTATTCTTCTAACTTCTTCAGGCAGGATACAGAATAACCAAATGAAGAGCAAATACATACAGGTGACATTAGAAGATACAGAACATGATCCTACTGGCAAAGTACAAACTATAGAGGAGGAAATCCAAATTCCTTTCATAACTGTAGCAAAACACTTGTGTTACTCCTAGAGTAAGACAGTAAGTGTCACAACAGTATGGCAGGGAAGTGAGGGAAAGAAAATTAGCTTAGCTGATAAAGGAAATAGAAAAACTACTCTTTGGCATGCAAGCCTTCATCTCTCACCATTTAGGAAAGAGTAAATGATTTACATTCACAGTTCTTCTGACTTCTCTGTTGCAATAAACTTCTAGTTTTTCACATGGAAAATCTGGCCTATTCCTACCATGAAATAGTAAGAATTTTCCAATTATTTGGTTTAATGTTACCAGAAGACATCTGTGTCTCTCTTTTGAGTAACAAATGGCATGATTGTGGAGATACTAAGAAACTGGTATTTCAAGCCGTCGGTGCAATTTCTTATGAATTTTTGGTTAACAGTCAGCCTATTTCAGGCCTACGCATGATGTTTTTTTTGAAATGCAAAATGCATCAAATAATGGATTTTTAAAAATTTCTAAGAGAAACAGCACTGCCCACCTCAAATTTCCATTTTGAAACAACTAGAGAAGTATCTGGCTGAGAGCAGCATGCCCAAAATAATAACATAGCACAAAAGAAATGACAGGGGAGTGGAAATTGGTTGTGGACCTCTGTGTAGAAACTGGATTATGGTCTGTTTTATGTGAACCATAAGCATAAAAATTGTTCTTCAAACACTTCAATTTCCATAATAATTGCCTTTCTAATTTTGCCTCTGCAACTGGGGTAGGATTTGAGAGAAATTGTGGACCTACATAAAGAGAGAAAAAAGAAGAGGGCAGGCATATTTAGTTCTCCTTTATGTCTTGTTCATGACAACAGCTTAAACAATTCTAGACAGACTAATACCTAAACCAATACTGTTTTTTCAGTACTCTTACACAAACACTGACCAAGGCAAAATCCCTGTCAGACTCTTGATCTAGAATGAACTTCACTTTTATGCCACAATGGATTAAGTGGTTCATAGGCACTAAAATGCATACCCCTCCCTAAGCTATTGATTCTTGGCCAAGGCAGAAGTGTAGACTTAACTAGATGGACCCAGAGGTGGCATACCAAGACTTTCAGGGCACAGGGTGCAGGAACCTTACATAGCTTACAGGAAGCAGCACTTTCTTGTGGTATGTTTTGAGACATTGCTTCACCCAGCATGCTCCATATAAAGATACAAGTGAATGGTTTGAACAAGCCAGTGGAAAAGGATGAAAAGACTTAAACCTCTGACAGGGTTTTTCCTTATAGGTCTCATTTATGGGTGAGAAGAATTAGCAGTACTAGCATAAAGGTGAGTGAAATTTCCAGTACAGTTGCAGTTCTTTCATGGCAAGTGCTCAAATTTAAATGGCTTCACTAGAGCTAAGTGAGAACAAATGGCTGTAAAATTCTTGAAAGATTAATTCTAACAGTTGTAAATTATAAAAAATTGTAACTTTAAATTAATGTATTATATTTATAATCTGATTCAAATGCAAGCATGACTTAGAATAGTAGAATCATGACAAGTACTGTTATCACTAAAGCAAGAACTGTTTGGTATAACTAAATCAGCCAAAGAATTTGATTTTCCTTCAGCATCTCCCTCATTCTGTTTGTCAGCTGTTCCTGAGTTCTGAAAGGAGGTTGAAGTTAATCTGCCTGCTTCTTCCTCACCTTGAATTTTCACAGTGTTTCGTGCTATTACAGAAAAAGAAGCATCTAACTTTCATGAAAATAAATTAAAATAAAGGGATCAAAGGAGGAGAGAACTGAAGTTTTTTTTTAATAACTATTTATGAGATAATTTAGAAGTATTATTTTTCAGCTAGTAGATTATTCATGAATTACTGACTTTGGCTGTTACCCAAATCATGTTTATCACATTACTCACATGGATGGCATATTTTCAGACTAATGCCCCAATATCACAAAAACCTTCATTTTCTTAAATTTATCTTTTGTCAGCAAATTATTTAAGCACATAAATTGAGCTCATTAAATGCCATTTGAGAAACGTTTTAGCCTGTGTTTGAAATAGAGTACCTGCTCACATGAAATATGAAACAGAAAGGTTGCTGAATTATATTCTGGAGTACTAAAATTGTAAAACAAAACCATAGACAACAACTAAAATTATGATTATAGTTTTATCTTCATCACACAGAAATTTGGGAACAGATATACAAAACAAACATTTCTGCAAATTCTTCAACCATAAAAATGCAGGCAAGATAAAGATAAGTGACCATTTGTATTACAGCCACAGTCACACTGAACAGATCTCAATGTAAGAACACATACACATTTCAGTGTTTGTATTATTTAGTAACATAGAACACTACACTTATCTCTGTTGCCCTTGAATGTTTTGTACTTTTTAGCAACCTTGAGCTAACAGTTCAGTTCAGTGCAATTTTTCTGTAAACATGCAATTAAGACTTTGCTAGCTATTTATATAAGACATCAAAGCAGAAAAAGGACACCATGCTACAGGGGAAGCAATTAGGCTCACCATGTCATTCTCACATTCCCAAAACTATGCCTTGCTTATCCACAACTATCTGTGAGGGGGAAACTTCACATTTCTGTGTAAGTACTTTTTTATAATACCTTGCTGAAAAAATGGAGATAGAATAAAGGATGTCATTATTTATTATTATTATGGTTATTGTTATTATTGTTGTTGTTGTTTTGGTGTTGGTGGTGTTGGCATCATTATTACTACTACTAATAGTTTTATTATTACTATTATTACTTGTTAGTTGGTGCTTCAAACAGTTCTCAGAATGTCCATAAGGGTGACCAACAGGAAGGGCAAGAACCCTTGAATCATCGCACCATATCCCAAATCATTAATTCTGAGACCTTTCTGGATACAAACTGTCAAAACCTCAACTGTCCCAGTCCCCCAAGGCAATAAGCAGTGTAGCTATGAAAGGGGAAGGAAAAGAGAGGTGTGCAGTGAAGGTCCCTCAGCAGACTGCAAGACAGACCCATTTCCTTACCTGTGGAAGAGTGCTCATGCTTGTCACCGAGCAGGCTTTGCTCCTGCAGCTACCACAGCTGTGGACTCTGTTTACTTGGCTGCTATCAGTCTTCTGTGCCCACACACTCTGCTAAGTTCAGAGACAATCTCATCTTCCCAGCTTGACTGTTTGCTGTGGGGAGGAGAAGTGAGAGGGAAAGCTCAGAGACAAACACTCTTAAAGAAAATGGGAGGGAAGGAAATGGTGTTTCTGCAACTCTCCACCCACCTTCTTAACACCTCTACTTCTCATAAAAGGATTTTTTTTCCCTTTTGTGTCTGTGACCCACCTGCCTTTCTGTCTCTTGGAGCTCCACCAAATCTTTTTGAACAGAAGTATGTGATTCTCTATCTCCCGCAGCCTCTTCTCAGCTATTTGCTGTTTCTTTTCTCTCCAGCAGCCTCGCTATCCTGCCCACCCAACAAGCCTGTTTTGGTCTGATATTCTCCCTTCCACTGGCCTGTTTCAACCTGCTGCTGCCTTGGGGCCCGGAGGCTTCTGCCTATTACTAGATAGCGTGGGCTACGCATCCTAGCGCTCCTCCTCCCACGAGGAAAGGCCAGGGTGCTGACTTGCTTCTTGCTCTCTCTCTCTCTCACCTGCACCCTAGTGTCCATTCAAGGGGTGAACACATCTGACTCTCTTTCCCACTAAGAGGCATAGAAAAAAAATAAAATAATTAATTACTGATTCTATTTGCATTTGTTCGTTGCTTCTCAGGAGATGGCCAGCCTGTGTGTCATTGCTTATTTAAGGAGAGGGAGGTTTCTCTGCTTTGAGGACTGGAAACCTGGATTACTTCTCTGAGACATTAAAAACTGAGTAGGAGAGGGAGGCAAGTGGCAGCTGTGAGCTGAGAGAGGTAGAGGGGACCAGATTGGTGTCGGCTTCCAAAGTGCTTGAAACAAGCAGAATACCAGGTCGGGACTGTTTGCCTCCCCAGGTTGCAAGTCTCTGAGGGGAATATGATATCTTGGTTCACTAGTCTGAAGATAATTTGGGATCTTCTCAGTTGTTCAGAGCTCCTATCAACCTGATTTTTCCCTATTTCTGTAGTGCTTGCATACTTTAACACTTTACTATCACAGCAGATTTCTTATATGGCTGAAACCAGTTACTTATTAACAGTTGTTTTTAGCATTCAGGTAACTGGTAGCTATATATTTCTATATTTACCAAACAGCTCTAAATACAGTTTAAAAAGTCCTTGCATACTGACAAAAAGGTCCCTACTGACCTTTCTTTCCTTCCAGCGTGTCACTTGCCTTCACCTTAACATCAGAATCCATTTTGCAAATACTTCTCACAAAAATTGATTGAGATTGGACTTAATGAAAGTAACAAAACAGTCTTTTGTTACCCACAATTGAGATGTTACTGTGAAGATATCTTTGTAAACTATCTGGACAAATTTGTTCATGACAATATCCAGTTCATTTATCTGGCTTAACTGTATCTGAACTCTTTCACCTTCATCATTAGAGCATCTAATAGCTCCCAAGCTTTATGTAATGAAGTAAATTTTACTTCTCTTTTCTTTATGAACTCGATCAAAGATTTAAAATTTACCTGGGCAAGGTATTTATTGCCTTTTTTGATTATAAAATGGTTATGATAATTTTGAACAAAATGTAATTAAAATTAAGGCAAGTAATAAAACCTTGGCTGAAGTATTCACTTTTAAAATTACACTTGAGGAGACAAAAAACCACTTTTGGCCAGTATACTGGGAGGATATAATTTACATTAATGTGGTTTCATATACCAATATCCTTTAAACAGACACTCTCATCTCCTCTCGATTAAATGAAATGTTACCAAATAATTTGGCAAAACATTACATTGATATTGCCACAAGACATGGATTGTCCCACAAATGCTAGCTAGAAATTATTTGAATGTGTATGTAGAGATAATTTTTACCAGACCTTGTAAACTCATCAGGACACATCCTGAAAAGTAGATTGATCACAACTTCATTTCAAGAGTGCATGGGATGTTTCAGGAAAGGAAACCTGAGAAACACCTCTCATTTTCAATGAAGAGCACAGCTCTTTGAATTAGGACATGTTTCAATGTGCTGTGATGCTGAGAAAGCTGCCTTGCAAGATCTAGTGTGGTGGTGACTATTTCTTTTCCAAAGGCATTACATACAATAGTAACATTATATGTTGGATCTAATAAACATTATTGTTGGATTCTGTAATTCAGTAAGAAAGTTGAGCTGTTATGGAGAAAATTAAGTTGTTAAAACTTTTATTTATTCCAAAATTTGTGTATCTCTTTGGAAACAGTGTGAATTTATTTAACATAGATGCTGCCTCTGTGACTGTGGTCTGAGATACCCAGGTATAGGACATAATTTATCTGAACTTATATGATCCACACTTCAGAAAAATCTGTTCAGCTGTGGTTATTTGATATTGCAAAGTAATTCAGACACTGTAGTTATGTGTGTTTTCAAGCAGAGTTTCTTGCCTCTGTCAGTGTAAGAACAGAGCATATTTGCATCTGGTAGCAATAAGGCAGCAAAGCATATCTTACATTTTCCACATCACCAATTGGACATGGAAGTTTATTTCAGATTATATGCCACAGGACAATGGCACTTTCTGTCTAAAAGTGACAGTCTGTATATATATTTAATACTTAAAAAGCTCTGCCTTGGAGGGGATTTCATGATGGCATTGTAAACACTCTTACGGGGTTTTGAATACACAACCTGTAGAGCTGTGGGCATCCTGAGAGCTGAATCCATGAAGTATTCACGTATACATTAAAATGGTGCTGCTGTTTTTCCTGCTGGCATGTAGGCTTCTTTGAAGACACTTTTATCACCAATAGAAAGCAAAGACAAAAAGTTTCCCTGTAATTTTTTTCTAATTACAGAAGCAGGAAGAGGGGCTTGCAGGAGGGAGGGAGGACAGGGAGGGAGAAGACGTCACAAGTAATCCTTATCAACTCATTCCCTTCTTATCTTTAAGGCACATATGACAGCTCTGCTCCCTTGAGTCCACAAATTAGTAAGAGAACCTCTGGCTTTTTTCTCTGTGACAGATACTTTCTCTTCTCTAAACGGCGCATTAGGTTCTTCCAAATCTAACACTGATCAGCACATTGAAAAAAATATAATGTTTGACATGCCTTCCAGCTGTTACACATAAAAACGTTTAACAGCAATTATCTTTTAGATACATCTTAGAATTAAATAGACACATGATTCAAAGAAATATGAATGTATTAAGTGTGTTGACATGCATTTGACAGATGTTGTTGCAAGTATTTCTTACGGTAATTTTAAAAGGTTAGTATTTCAAATGGCTTGGAATCAAAAGCAGATTTCAGCAAATTATTTTCCTAATATCTGTCCTGAAGTGAAATTTAATTTGGACTTTGATCTTCTACATCGTGTGAATAGTAAATTCCACTGCAACAATTTGGTAGAGCGAAGTTTTGCTTCATAGATTGATATTCCACCTTCAAGCTTCCAAAATATAGATGTATCACAGACTGCACAAAATATTGCTCCTTTAAAAAGAGCACTAGAAAAGCATGGTGAGGCAATGTTAATGTCACTGGCATCTTGAAAACTTCTGTGAAGTCTATCACTTACAAAGAGACTGCACTTAGGTTTTAAAAAAAGTTTGTTTAACTCAAGCTCTTCAATCTCAAATGGTCCCTGATGGTACTACCACAGAGCAGTGTGACTTCTGGATTAAATCAACATGAAAGAAAATCTCCTTTACATGAAAGACTATCTGCTAAAGGTTAGTAATAATTTTGGTAACCATCAAAAGCACAAATGTGGTCTGCAAACACCACAACACTGTAGCACTTGTTCCTTCACCAAAGAAGTTCAGAAAACTGGAGGCAGTTCAGCCTGAGAGCCATAATATTCCATTGTAGATTGGAGGACTGATGACAGGATAAATTCAGTGTAAACAGCCCATAACAGGAGCTGTCAGTCAGGGATCTAGCAGAGTGTTCTAACTGCCCCACAGGTGAAGAGAGCGATCCTTTCTGGGGCAAAAGTGCTCTCAGACACTCAGTCACATGTGCAGATGGCAACTTTTCACCCTTTTATCCACAAAAACTTGCTCTCTCGTCTAGCATCAGTCCATCAGTACACAAACTCAAAGACTCACTGAATGCCTTGGTTGGAATGGACCTTTTGAAAATCATCCAGTTCAACCATCCCACCATGGTGAGGTTGTTTAATCTCTGTCCAGGCCTTGAACACCTCTAGTGAGGAGGCATCGACCACTTCTCTGGGCAACTTGTTCTTCCAGCTTTCTGGGACATCTTTATTCATGAAAAAAAGGACAGAAAAGTCATTGATACTTCTAACCACAACCACCACCTTAGGTTCAGAGGAGACAGGAAGAAGAGGAGAGATCAAAGTTTGTAAACACAGATTAGCTCAATGTGTGACAATTCAGTTACCTGGATGTATTTGTTAAAGATGATGGGGGAAAATTGAGGAATATCCTGACTTGTGTGAGTCATTCAAATTGAAGATTTATCAGTCCATCCGTAAGGAAGACTATAATCAAACCTGGGATCCAAGTGGATAGAATGAATACAAGATATTTGGACTGGGACGTAGACAGGAAGGGTATCCTTGATGACAGGAAAAAGGGGTTGGTTTCAGGTGTAGAAAAGGAAAGTCTGAGAATGAGGGCTAGGAGGGCAGAGAAGATGAGGCAAGAAAGACAGAAGAAGTAGTGAAAATAAGAATGGCAGAAAGCACAAAAGTAAAAATTAAAAAACAATTTATTTTTCCCTGTCCTACATGAATGTACATGAGTTTCCCTGGTCATAACCCTAACCTACATGAATGCCTTCTGTTATTGTCTGTGTTTCTTTAATATCTCGTTTGTTGCTTCATTGGGCACAACCTCTAAGAATAAATAGCAGAATATCACTTCAGGCTATTGTTAAAGAATTTGTAGGGGTTTTTGTAGTTACTGTACTAGTGAGAACTTGATGTCTTTTCTCAGCAACAGGGTAAAAACTGGTATTAAAAAAAAGATTTTTGTGGTTGTATATCTTTTTAAGCATTCAGACATTCACTGTGAAACTGTTCCAAAACACCCATGAGGCAGTTTTCCATTCAGAAAAGCAAGTCCTAGCCTCTAAAGCATTTATTTAACATCAAGGAGAGCAAAAAAGAATAAAAGAATAATCCCTGAATAAGCAGACACACAGCCTTCTACTGAGGAGGCATGCTAAGGCAAATGGAATATCTGAGTCCAGCATACTGCCAGAGGGCTTCTCTTAAAATTGAGTGTGTATCCACTCTGTTCTTGCTTCTTCACAGTACACCACCTTCCAAAATACATTGTAGAAAACCATTTTCCATCGCTCTTTAAAGTGCTTGCTGTCTGCTTTGTTTTTTAGAATTACTTACAGGCTGATTTAAAGGGATATTTCCTGTAAAATTCTGTTCTGATTCTGAAAAATGACTGTAACAAAAATACC